GGCGGGCCGCCCGAGCCACGCTGCTCCTCTGGCGGGCACGTCGGCCCAGTGTCGCGTCGCCCTCTCGACTCATACGGGGGCGGACTGGGAGATGAGGAGCGGCGGCCGGGGCAGGGCGGGGACAGAGAGGGGAGTCCAACGGTGGGTCGAGCCTGGGCCTCTTGCTGCGATGGTTGCCTCCGTACAGATGAGTGCTGCGGTTGGGAAGCACACCAGGGACGCCGCCTTGCCCCTGCCCCCGCTGCGCTCGCTGCAGCCACGACAGATCGATGAGCATTGCCCGATCGCTTACACGCGACCGGTGGAGCGCATTGCGGTACTCGACAGCCTCACGGAAGGCCGTGAAGATGGCCGCGCGGGAAGCGCCGTAGCCGACAGGGAACCGACGCAGATCGACGGCCGTCGATGCGTCGCTGTCCCAGAAGTAGGCCTCATGACTGTAGTTGGTCCGCCACGAGATGCCGATACTGACACAGATATGCCACACGCAGATGCACAAAGTGACGTAATAGCGTCATGCACTTGGTCCTGCTCACCCGCCCCTGTCTGCTGCATGGAAGTCTCCCGGCTGCTGGTCCCTCATCCACCGCACCAGTGCGCGAGCCAGCGCATCGCCCGTCAGTTCTCCCGCCACCTGACGGCCGGCTGGGCCGCACAGCCGCTTGGGAGGGGGGCTGCGGGCAGCCGAGGCCACACGGCCGTCATGGCCTCTATGCTCATCGACAGAGCTGCTTTGCGTGTGGCGCTCCTCTGGGTCGGTGCACTCTGCGTGAATTGCACACAGCCAGACAGCCAGAAGAGGGCGTGGGACGGTCTGTTGACTCAATCACGCGTCCAGGTGGTGCCTGGCTCACCGTTATTGCGGTGCGCTGTCGTCGATGCGTCGGCGTGGGGGAGGGGAAGTGGCTCGCTCCTCTCCTCTCTGGGAGGCCGCGCCGCCCTCATGGCCTGGGCAGTCACTTGCCCATCAGACGGCACATCCACACCTGTAACCACACACACACACACCAATGGACGGCAGTCAGTGAACGGACGAGTGAGACGCACCTGTTGGCATCCACCGAATGGCCCTCGTCTGGTGGCCGGCCACCGTCACTGTGACGATCTCATACCGACCGCCACTCTCAGGATCGCTCGCACGCACACCCTCCAGCAAAACGGCCAGCGCAGCCGTGTCACACGTCGTGCCGAGCCGAGCGATGTCAGCGGCCGACTCGCCGGCCGGCCGCCCATTGCTGTCAGTCGGTTGGATCTCATCGGGAGTGCTGCTGTGATGCATCGCGCTCTTGCGTCGCCGCTTGCTGGTGCGGATCGGTGGACGACTGTTATCATCCAGCTCGAATGACGGGGGCGGGGAGGAGGCGGCCACTCGATACTCGTGGTGTCGTTTCTCCATCTTCCGTCTGTGGGAGATGGCGGCCTGCTTGGCGCCCTCATAGCCCAACTGCCTCGCAGAAAACCTTTTCTCTCTCTGTCTGCCGTCCTCGTACCAGTTGGCCACCCATGCGTTCGACCTTTTCTCGTAGTAGACGCCCTTGACGCCGCTCTGGTGCTTTGATAGCTTCCTCACCGACGCACAGCCGGTGCGCTCCATCTCACGACGGTGCTCCTCGGCCAATGCCTGACAGATGGAAGCACACATATGAGACACTCAGAGGGAGAGGGAAAGAGGGGACGTTCTGCGTACCTTGGCTCTGTCGAAGCCATGCTCTTTGACGTAGAAGTACTTAGATTTCTTGTTCGGGTCGCCCTTCTCGTACCAGCCTGACTGCCAGGCCTGACCCGCGTTGTGCCAGCGAACACCCACCACGTCAGACTGATGCTCTGCAGTTGGTACCACACATAATCAATCGGTTGCAGCGGTGTGTTGGATTTGCCTCTTGGTCTCCTCACCGGATTTGGTGATGACGGTCTTCCCCTTGCTGCCGGCCTTGCTCTCTCTGTCGGCGGCCCACTGTGGGTCAGACATACAGATGGACGACCACACATCACCGGCAGACACCGACGCACCATCACTCTTGGCCGCCTTGGGCCTCCGTCGTGAGTGTGGGGATGACGATCGAGCGTCGACGGCCGCCACACTCGACTGGTGCTCGCGCCTGTGGGGAATCGGAGCCTTTCCGGCATCGGACGTTGCTGCTTCTGCAGATGGCGAATCGACACATAACAACCAGTGGGTGGACAGTGTGGCCGTACCTGATGCGTGTGGGGTCTGGCCTTCCGTCATGGCTTCGTTATGCACGGTCAGCTGCCCGGCGTCCAGACACGCCACCTCAGCCGATGTGCCCCTTTCGCTGACTGCCTGGCCTCCATCCACTGCCGATGGTTGCTCAACGGTTGGCTGCTGCATGGCTGTTCGCCCTGATGATGACTAAAGTGGCTGGCGCGATGCTTCGCAAGCTGGACAAGGGCTCCACGCCCCTCCGAGGATCAGCTGCAGAGTGACGGGCACGCTGATCCGAGCTCAGCAATGCTGCAAAATCAGCTCGTCGAGTTTTGACGGTCTCGTGAATCTGAAGGGCACACCCGCACGTGGTGCAATTACATATCAGGTCGGGCTGGAGAAACCCGCAGATGGGAGAGATCGCTTCATAGCTTGCATATTTTAACTCATTGCGAGTCATTTGATTCATCCCGGAGCTGGCCATGTCGGCAGCCGCCGCTGCGGCAGCAACAACAGGTGGTTCGAAGAAGCGGAAGGCGATTAACGGTGATGCTGTTGACGCGGCAGGCCAACCAGCTGATGACCACCTGGTCCACCCTCCCACGCCTCAGATCGGCCGTCAGTCACTCGACAAAGCCATCGCCGCAGCCAACGCCGCCCTCCTCGCCATCGAGAATGCCGCTCGGACTGCCCGCCAGCAGCTGCAGACCAAAGCCGAGGCCATCAAAGGGCTGATTGAGAGCACGGGAGGCAAGCTGGAGCTGACGGGCGGCATCGAGGGGGAGGTGGAGGTCAATGTGGGCGGGCGGGTGGTGGGCGTGTCGCGCAAGGGGCTGATGCTGGATCAGCTCCGCCACACCTACTTCGCCCATCTGCTGCTGTACTGTGTGGACGAACTGCCCCGCGATAAGGAGGGCCGGCCCTTCGTCGACGCTGACTTCAACTATGTCAAGTGGTGGGTGGAGGGGGGAAGCAGGTCTGATTGGGTAGTGTTCAATGCGCTTTGTTTCCTCTCCTTTGCACTCGTCAGGTTGTCTGACGAGATAGCGTTGGTTGAGGGTGCTGACGCCCAGGGCGAGGAGCACGAGATCGAGTTGGACGACACACAGAAGGAGGACCCTTCGTTCGCCTTCCACCACGAGCTGTTCCTCACCCCGACATCGCTCGAGATCGACGTGCGATCAGAGGACGTCGACATGGACGACAGAGAGGCAGCGGAGGGCAACAAGGAGGGCCGCAATCGGGATGGCGATCGAGAGGGGGCAGGTGATGGCAATGGGGATGGGACTGCCGGCAGTCGGCTGCGTGAGTACGTGGATAGCTACAATGACGCGGTGACGGTATTGGAGAAAGCGGTAGTGCATTTGGACGGGTTCGGGCAGGCGGTACGGCCCTTCCTCCGAGCAGAGGACTGCAGCGACCACACCGTCATGACCACGACCGTCCTGGGCCAGGCAGTGTCGACCACCGAGGCGACGCTATCGCAGTTCGGCCACAACAACCTCCTCTACAAGCGATTCAGTTGGGAAGGCACCTACAACACACACATACACTGCCGTTGTATGGACGCATTGTATTCTTTCCTCTCTTGTGTGTGTGTGATGTGTGTGGTGTGTGTGCAGTGGTGACATCGTACAGGGTGACGTACCGGTCCGGCAGACATCCACTGAGAACTTCACGAAGGTGACACACAACATACGCACACACGAGAGGAGAGAGAGAGAGAGAGAGAGGAAGGCACACTGCAAGTCCTTCTGGCGGCCATTCAGGTGGTGGACTTTGCTCGCCGCCTTCGACTCGAGAAGCGGCCCGGTGCCGTGGTCAAGAAGCCCACAGCCAAGCCCAAGTATGTCGCTCAGCTGAAGGTATGGCTGATCCGTTCACACATGACTTCATCAAGGCGGCCATGAGCACTCAACCTGTGTGTGTGTGTGTGTGTGCAGAAGGATGTTGAAATGTATGGCCTCACGATGGAGGACGTCTATCGGCCCCCGGCCCAACTGCTCACCTTCGAGGAGACGCAGGAGGTGCTGGCCATGACCAAGATACCCAGCCCCTCGGTCAAACTCCTCTACAGGTAAACAGAGACAGCCATATGATCTCTCGCAGTGTCACTCCCACCCCGTTCTCTTTGCTCTCTGTCAGTTCGACGCGTGACGGTGGTGACTTCGGCACGATGGTGGACAAGGTGGGCGACGCGAGCAGTCTGCTGTTCCTCATCAACCACAACGATACACACCGATTCGGAGCCTTTGTGTACGGTCAACTCAAGCCGCCCGCCGACCCCACACAGACCAGTCGATACTCCACGCCCCACTTCCTCATTTCGATCAGCGGAGCCTATGCCAAAGTCACCAAGGTGCCCATCCCCGAGGCCGAACAGAAGGTGCATGTCGCCGGCCGCGACGCCTCCGTCAAGGCCAACAACACGGACTCACGCGGCAAGGTGGGCGGAGGGGCAAAGGGAAGAACAAAGCAGCACGAACAGAAAGGACACGGCTGTTACATTACCGTGTGCAGTTGTACTTGGGTGACGGGTACCTGTGGCTTTGCGATGGCACCCCGGGCCCGTCAGATGACATGCGCAGCATGTGTCAGTGGGTCAAGAAGGAGGACCTGCCGGCCGGCTACCTCGGCCGGTTCAGCACCAATGGCAACGGCACACTGGCGGGCAAATGGCAGTTTATCGCGAAGGAGATCGCCATCTATCACGCGAGTAGGTGGGGGAAAGGCAGAGAGACGACCGGCACGGATGAATTCATGGATGTCCGTGCTCTTCAGGTGAAGTCGGGCTGAGTGAGTGAGGAGCAGCCAGTGCCACAACAGCAGCGGCAGACATATATGGCCTCACACACATGTCGACAGACCGACTTATGACATTGTGCTGCTTGGATGGACTGGTGTGCATGGGCGGCTGGACCCTTTGATTCACATCTGTCTGTCTGTCTGCATGAGTGCCTCAATTTTGACCCACAACCAATCCATCACACCTCTCGCTTAGAACGAAGCGTCCAGTGCATTGCACAACGGCCAACTTGGCCGTCACCTCCTGCACATGAAAGACACGAACATTTCATGAAATGCACCTGACTGAATTCACAGTTGATGGTGTCGCCTGCAGATTCGATGAAGACGGGAGAGCAGCCAAAGAAATGCACCGTCACATCTGCGCGAGCTTGAAAGTCGACAAAAAGGCGACGAAGTGGGGCTTGACGTTCTCGCGGTTCAATTGTGTCCCTTTTGGCTGCTTTCGCTCTCTCTTATCAACTTTCGTTGGTTCCCATCACTCGAACTCTGTATTCGCCCCACAGCACCGATGGCGGCTGAGTGTGAGAGCCCGCTGACGCCCCACATCCCCACGTTCTCGCGGCTCAACCTGTCGCTGCACCGCACCGACATTACATTGGGCCCCATAGCCGGATCTACCCTCATGAAGCGCCGCAACGCCATGGCGATGATGGCGGCGGCGACGAACGGTGCCGACAAGGACGGCTGTGCATGCAACGGGGAGGATGGCAAGAAGGTCAAGGACACTCCCACGGACATCAACCAGGTACATCCGCACAGGCGGGGCCATCAATGTGTCGTTTTGCAATGCATTCGTTCTTCAATGACTTGTCCTGTGCCTCAGGTTGGCGCCAAGGCTGTGGTGCAGCCCTCCAAGGCCTCATGTGTGTCGGGCTCGTCGACGGCCGCTACAACGCCACGCGGCGGCAAGAACGGCGTGACCCTCATGGCATGATCAACGAGACACATCCAAGCAAACGAGATGTAGTATGGAAAGCAAAGAGAAGTGCGATGTATAGCAAAGGGTGTGTTGCATGTGAGCTGCAATGGCGTGTACACGTTGGCGCCAATGTGTTCCTTGCTGCTGTCGGTGGTCCTTGTGTGGAACGACTCATTCATGTGTATGCGATGTGTTTGTCTTGCTGGACGGATGGATGGCTTCAAGGATGGCTCGATTCATGCAAAGCGATATCCACATGGACGGTTTCAATCTAGCAGACCTTAGAAGTGCCATTCCTTTGCTGTTGAGCTGCAATGCATTCACATAATTAATGCTTTCACCATCGATGCAAAGCCACGTCCATGCAGTGTCCAACACGACAGACATACTGCAACTCTTATGGCTCCGCCCTGTTGTCGCTTTGCGCTGCTCTGTCCGCGTCAATGCGCACCGACTTCCGTGGGACGGCCACGGACGATGCTCGACTGTGCACCGAAGGTGTGGGCGCGAAGCTTGTTTCGCCCTCTGAGCCCTCAGATTGCATCTCCTCCCTCGCACGGGCAAACCTGATAAGCAAATACACTCATAGAGTGACACCAGCAGCAGTGGTCGATTGCTCTCTCACCGTTTCTTAAGAACGGAGAGCTGCTTGGACAGCTTGGTCACTTCCTTTTGCAGCACCTGCAAAAAAGAACAGATAGACACGTAATATTTGGTCGGGCTGCCATGCGCTCTTTTAAACGTACCTCGATTTGTCTGCTGCTGAAGAGGTGCTGGTCCAGGAGGTAAGTGCGGTATGCGTTGATCTTGTTGAGCTGGAACACCAGCAGCAGAATCAGCACTGCCGCGAGAGCAGTGTACAGAATCACACTCGTCAGGATCGTCCACAACAGCGGAAAACTGAACAACAAAGGAGGAGAAGCGATGCACACACACGAGTGGCGCAGGCACGAGGGAGACAGCAGCAGCTGATCCACCCTGTCTTGAAGGCGTTCTCCATGACTGCGATCGCGCGAGTGCCTGGCGGATGCACACACACACACACACACACACAGAGAGAAAGAGAGAGAGAGAGGGGGGTAGATTGATTGCCCACCCACTGGGCCAAGTAGGTGAGAGAAAAAAGTCGGTGATAAAAGGGTTGTTTTGATAGTTTTCGCACCAGGCCACCACCAGTCACAGAATAGGTCTATCAGTCGTATGTGGGCCTACAGGTGGCCGACAAGGGTCACCCTACGGTCAAAAATGGCAAAATGGTGACATTTTTTTGCGCTTGCGTAGCGTCGTCAGTTTTGCTGACCTGCCCCTCTCTCTTGGCACGTGTGCGGTCCATGAGCTGATGCACTCGACCCGTGTCTTGGATGGGCCGGGCCGCACCCACAGAGCGAAAGACGTGCCTGCAGAGATGACACTCACACAGAGAGGGGAGGGAGGGGGTCAGTCAGAAAGTACCTCAGAGAGCACCGCTCGACGGCTGTGCGTGTCGGGCTGGATGCCCCGGTCAATCTGATGGTCAGAAATCTCCCTCACACGCACTGTGACTGCGCTGCACATGGGTCACCGTCGGGAGTGCACGCCAAGGCACCGTCTCGCAGAGGCGGATCGGCGCATAGCAAAGCCCTCAGCGAGGGAAATCCTCTGACACCCGAATGAGCCTCCGAGTCTTGGCGCAACCAACACGGCCATCTCGGCCTGCACACACAGACAGACACAGACACAGACACAGAGAGAGATGTCAGCTTATGTATTTGATCTTCTGGCTGCTCCTGGCTGCGTGTGCGGCCTTCCTGTGAGCCTCTCTGCTCCTGATCTGTGCGTTTGGTGGGTCGGCGTCTTCCCTTTCACATGTCTAAGCTCGCATTTTGCCGATCGCTAGGGGGGGGCTTTCTCCCATTGCAGGGGGGCGGCGAGGCGGCTGATGTGCGCATTTAAGCCCTAGTTATGCGTAGGGTTTGCGAATTTCGTGAATGCACGTGTGCAGGAACGCAGCACACAGGCAGGCACCTTCCCATACACGGAGGTGCGCAGGGTGTTCAGAGAGGGAGGGCGGGAGGGGCCTGTCTGTCTGTATGTCTGTATGTCTGCCTGTGTGTGTGTGTGTGTGTGTGTGTGTGTGTCTGTGTGTGTCTGTGTGTGTGTCTGTGTGTGTGTGTGTGGCAGATAGACAGCCTCACACACACACATACAGGCAGACATTCACCCATGCGAAGCGATATCCTTATGGACGGCTTCAATCAAAGAGACTTTAAAATGCCATTCCTTTGCTGTTGAGCTGCAATGCAGTCACATAATTAATGCTTTCACCATCGATGGGAAGCCACGTCCATGCAGTGTCCAACACGACAGACATACTGCAACTCTTATGGGTCCGCCCTGTTGTCGCTTTGCGCTGCTCTGTCCGCATCAATGCGCACCGACTTCCGTGGGACGGCCACGGACGATGCTCGACTGTGCACCGAAGGTGTGGGCGCGAAGCTTGTTTCGCCCTCTGAGCCCTCAGATTGCATCTCCTCTCTCGCACGGGCAAACCTGATAAGCAAATACACTCATAAAGAGACATGACACCAGCAGCAGTGGTCGATAGCTCTCTCACCGTTTCTTGAGAACGGAGAGCTGCTTGGACAGCTTGGTCACTTCCTTTTGCAGCACCTGCAGAGGAAGGAACAGACGGACACGTAATGGTTGGACTGCCATGCACTCCTCCAGCCGTACGTACCTCGATTTGTCTGCTGCTGAAGAGGTGCTGGTCCAGGAGGTAAGTGCGGTATGCGTTGATCTTGTTGAGCTGGAACACCAGCAGCAGAATCAGCACTGCCGCGAGAGCAGTGTACAGAATCACACTCGTCAGGATCGTCCACAACAGCGGAAAACTGAAAAACAAAGGAGGAGAAGCGATGCACACACACGAGTGGCGCAGGCACGAGGGAGACAGAGGCACGAGACCCACCCTGTCTTGAAGGCGTTCTCCATGACTGCGATCGCGCGGGTGCCTGACGGATACACACATACACACACACACACACACACAGAGAGAGAGAGATAGAGAGAGAGAAGCGAGACAAGCGAGATAGTGCTGACAAATGGCGTGGATTTTTGGTTCCTTGTCAGGGCCGTGATCGCTCACGTGTATCAAATGGGCCGCAGCCCTCTTCATGTGGGAACTCCAGTGAGAGGAAGAAATAGGTCAGCACGCCAAACAGCACACACGAGAGAGCGAACAGGCGCATGATGAATACACCAATGTCCTGCACGCACCATGAGAGAGAGACAGAGAGAGAGAGAGACGATCGGGTATCATGTACCCCCCGTTGCATGCTGCTTGCCTGAGAGGAAAGGTTGGTCTGCGGCCGTTTGCAGAGCTTCAGAAAGACAAACGTGAACCACTTGAAGTCCACAAAGAGGATGACGGGCGCAAACAGAGCAGTGAACGGGCAGAAAGGCTGCACAACACCCACACACCGCCCTTCTCCCTCCCTGTCCGTGTCTCTGTGTTGCTGAGCAATCACCATGGCAGAGATGATGAGCGACTGCGTGTAGATAACCTGCACCACATTCTTGGCCACATCGAACTTGGGCCGCCACATCGCACGCTGCTCCTCGCCACGAAGACCAAACACACGCTTCGTGAGGTACAGGTAGGTGAGATATCCCGTGAAGGCGAGCTTCGTGAATGCGAAGTCGGTTGCGACGAGCGAGAGCAGCGACACGGCCGCCTGGTCCTCCCTGCAGCGGTATGTCTCCTCGTCCCACTCGATGGTGGACGTGGACGACTGAGTGAACAGGGCTCGGGAGTATACCATCTCAAAGTTGAGTGCCGTGACCAATGCCACATTCAACACACGACCTGACGGCGAGAGAGAGAGAGGCTCCAAATGAGAGGAGACATGGGTGCAGGCATCCTTCTTGTGGGGTGACCAAAGTAGAGGCGCCACATTGTCTGCTTGAGACGCGACGACGGCGCCCACTTCTCATAGGCGGTAATCAGCGTTGTGACTTGTGGGAAGGCGAAACCCATGACCGACACCGTCACCGAGGGAGCCAGCCCACTCACGCTACGGAATGGGGTGCTGAAGGGCACCGAGCAGCACAAATGCTGGCATTCAGCTTTGTGGATGGTCGGTGCTCTCCTCACCTGCTCGAGAGCCACGTGCGTATCTGTTTCTGAAACAAGGTCACAGATATGATGATGGTCCAGGCGACGCCGATGAAGGCAATGTTGATCAGGATTCCCAACGCGCGACGGCAGTAAAGCAGCAGCTGATGCATTCAGACAAACGACAGCTGAGAAATGGCCTTCTACGGCCATTTCACGTACCTTATCAGAGAAGGTGCGTTCGGCATTCCTCCGCTTAACTTCATCTTCGTAGAGCAGCACACCCAACTGGATCGCCACCGACCTTGCAAAGCTCGTCGCATCATCATGGTTGCTGTGGGAAAAAGAGATGCGGTATAGGCGGATGCTTGTCTCGCCTCTCACGCACTCACCCCGTGTTGATGTCGAAAGCCGTGAGCAGCACTTTGGAATATTTTTTCTTGTCCCCCGACGTCTCCTCCAACAGCTGGGAGTACTGATACACATGATCAAAGGCCACCCACTGCCTACCACCCAGCCACGTACACACACAGAGGCATGCACCCGGCCTTGCTCTCTCCTTCTTTGTTCTCTCACCAGCTCACCGGAGAGATAGCGAGAGCACCACAATGACGCTCATGAGCACCACCGAGACGTATGTGATGCTGGTGGCCCCGCTATTCGGGAAGGCGCTGTACACCAGGATGCATGGGCTGAGGCCGCACATTTTGAGGTTGTCAAAGAGGCGAAGGTACAGCTGCGGCAACAACAGAGGCAGGTGCACACACAGCTGGAGGATCGACGTCAAAAACAAAAATCTATAGACACACAGACAAAGGATGAACGAGTGGAACCGCCCTTGACGTCCGCACACACCCACCGCAGAAAAGCAAAGAAAGATCCGAATGTGTCGCCATATCTTCTCGTAATGCGTTGGACGCCCGTTTTGAACGGCAGCTTCCGAAGCACCCATCTCGCTGCTTTTGCAAACCTGACACCCGCACAGACAGACACCTCTGCTTTGTCCTCTCCATCCATTCTCCTTCACTCACTGGTGACAACACATCATGCAGGGGTTCCGCTTTCGGTCTTCCGACACCTTCAACTCCTCCCCCTCTGCAAACGAGACATCCAGTCAATCGCCATATGGCGGCTCGACATAGAGCGTACCTCCCAGCAGGTCAATGTCCAACGCGCCCATCCCGAAGCCTGCCCGAGCTTTCGGCCGTGCCTTGGCCTCCAACCCTGCCAGGAGCATCTGTGCGCCGGGGGAGGCTGCCGACGATGTGGTGCTAGGCATCCTCTCCAGCTGGGCCGGGCCGGTTTCCTGCTGGAGCTTCAATTGCTCCAGCTGACGCTCCAGGTCGCCTGATAGACAGGCCACAACATGCCCCCAGAGGTGGACGGTCGGTTCTGTCCCTCCCTTTGTGTCTCGTGTACTTTTGTCATATTCGGCCTTCTTGAGCTGAGTCTGGATGTCGTCTTTCTCTTCTTTCCACCTGCCATGCCCACCCACACGCGACAACAAAGGGAGGGAGACATGGATGGGGATCTCACCCGCTCTTCTCTTCCTTGGTTACTTGGTCCGAGCATTGTTTGCCTTCTTGAGCTGATCCTCGTAGTGGTTGACCTTTCGCCGAAGGGTCTCAATCGTCTGCTCCCTCTTCCTCACATCATCTGCAATGCACCAACACACGACGGCCTGCTGAGGAGGTGAATTGAGCCATCCATGCCGCATCGCATCTACCTCTGAGTCTCTTCTGCTGGGCGCTCTGCCTCGTGAGGTTCTCAGAGAGCCGCAGCACCTCCTCTGACGGCGCCGCAAACGACGTCGGCACCTCCCCGGGCACCGGCCTGTCGAAGCGATGCTGCTCCGGCTCCATCTTGGCCTTGTCCAGGAGGTCATGCACGGTGATCTCACGCAGCTCTTTGCCTGCATACACGTGATGCAGCAACAGGACAGACAGGAAATGGCATGGATCTCTCTCTCTGCAGAGGACGCGGTCTCCATGTGTAGACACATCGTACCGATTTGCTTCTGCAGCTGGTTGATGGCGTCGTCCACCTGCATATGGCAAATTGAGTCATGACAGTTTCATTGCTGGATGCGCCGCTGCGGTCGTTCGTCTTTGTCCTACCACATGGGCGCCGTTGATGGGCGCATCAGAGTTGTGCTGATGAAAGACGTTGCTGAAGCTGGCACCTTCGTCGGGCACCGATATGTCACCAGGGGCAGGCTGATAGTACATCGTAGTGCCGGAGAAGGGACGGCGAGAAGGCGCGGATGCGCAGAAGTCGAGACGCGCGCTTTTTGGCGAGCTTTTCGCCAGCAAAGCTGCGCTTTGTGCGCGGGGCACTAACGTCCGGGGCACCGTGCCGAAGCAGATCTTTGCTCGGTGCTGTTGACGCACGGCTTGTAGAACTTGCTTCGTGAGCGGCGGTTCGTTCGTTCGTCTCGATGGGGAACTCGGACAGCCGCGCCGTGTTCCGGGACCACGTGGACAAGCTGGTCTCGGAGGACGTCTCATACGACGATGACGAGGTGCGGAGATCTGGCCAGATCTGTCAGTGTGCACCACGGGCCCTCCGCGTGTGTGTGTGTGGGCGGTTGCAGTTTTGGAAGGGTCTGTTCGGCGCGAGCATCGGCATCGACGACGTGTTTGAGCTGATCAACCCCGACGACGTGCGGAAGATGAAGGCCGAGAAGCCGCACAACACAGCGTGCCTCTTCCGAAAGGTGGATAGATGCGCCACGCCACAGGAACACACATATGCTGGCAGGCAGGCAGGCAGGAAGGCAGGCACCCCTCTGTTGATGTCTGAGTGCATCCATCCGTCCATCAGCTAGTTGAGATGATGCGGGAGGTGAACCACGTGGGCAGCACGAGCGCGCTGCCCGGCAACCTCGTGACGGTGGCCGTCAGCTGCGTGCGGCTGCTCACCAGGCTCATGCCTTTCATGCTCGAAGACCTAAACGACGGTATGCATCTCATCAAGACCAAGACCAAGACCAGCACCTCGTCTTTTGTCAACGGGGGTGTGGCGTGTGGGCGTGTTCAGAGTTTGTGCACACCCTCTTCTGGACGCCGGGAGGCTACAAGGCGACCACCACACAAGACGCCCCTGCTGCTGCCGATAGAGCGGCCACGGCAGATGTAAGGAGCGGACGGCCTGGGTACTGGCACACGAATGACACACTCCCTGTCTGTGTGGGTGACAGGAGGGAGGCGAGAAGGGCCCCGCCAAGGCTCCCGAAGACCCCAACATGATCATCGGAAACGAGGTATAACAGCAAAGGACGGCAGGAGGGATAGCGCAACAAGGCCAATGTGTCCTGTCTGTCTGTTGTGTCGTGTTTGTTGTGTTGTCTGTTTCAGCTGCTGTCGGGTTTGATGCGGTTCCTGTTCCTAAAGAACCTCTGCTGCGTTGCGCCCGGCGTCATGATCGGAGAAACCGAAGTAACACACACAGACGCACACACACAGACGCACACACACACACAGAGAGAGAGAGAGAGAGCGAGGAAGATGGCCATGTGTGTGTGTGGGCGTGTTGTGCAGCCACTGCCGAAGCACAAGGTGGATACACGCTTCATCTGGAAGGGCGGCATCGGCACCGCCAAGGAGCTCCCCGTCGTCTCGTCGGCGCAGATCTACAAGACACGCACGGAGGTCAGCCAAACCACCTGAGCACTCACTCAGCAGACTTGCGCTGTGTGCGTCAAGGTGTGTGTTTGCACGGGCTATTTGTGGGTGTGCAGGTGTTGCGTTGTCTGCTCATGTGTCTGAGCGGGCCGCTGTACCAGACCATCGACGAGTACCAGCAGATACTGCCCCCGTGGCTGAGGAGTTTCACTGCAGGAGACCTCCCTTACACTGGTGAGTGGGGTGCTGTGGGTGGCGGGTGAATGGATCTGCTGCACATGGCATTGAGGGTTTTGTGTGCTCTCTGTCCTCCCTGCAGCCAATCTGTTTTGTTCGTTGATGAGCACTGTGTTCACCTACAATCCTTCAGGCTATGTAAGCTCACTCGGATACGTAAGCAGCCCCTTCAGATGGAGGGAGGAAAGTCCCGCCATCTCTCCCTCTCCCTCTCCCTCTCCCTCTCCCTCTCTCCCCCTCTGATGGTGCATCAATCACTCAGGGGCTGCCGTACACGAGCCTGTTGTCCGGCACTGAGGAGGAGGACCTCGTCAACACCTCACTGCAGGTGCTCAATGTGCTCATGGACTTCAACCCTCAGGTCTTCCTACAAGACGCACAAGGTAGCTCCGCTCCCCCCTACACACACAGACAATGGGGGGTTTCTCGCCTCATCTCTGTGTGTGTGTGTGTCTCTGTGTGTGTGTGCACAGGCATCAACACGGGCATGGCCCCGCCCAACCAGATGTCGTCCACATCAGTGGACCCCCACGCACCCGCACCGCAGACCCCGTCACACGCCGCCACCAGCAGTGGCGACCAGAACGGAGCCGCACACATCACATGTACGCCACGCCCTCACCACGGGAAACAACACGGGCAACTGTGTGTGCACCATGTGTGTGTCGTGTGCGTGTGTGTAGATGAGGAGGTTCAAGACGGCAGCCTGGAGAGGAATGTGAGGAACGTCTACCGCACTATGCTGGCAGGTACTCCGCTTCGGCGGAAGAAGGCCGGACGACACACACACATGCATCCATCGGGGTGTCTGGGTGTGTGTGTGTGTATGTGTGTGTCAGGCATCAAGAAGGACAGCGAGATCGACCTCATCTTCGACGGCATGGTGCGCATCCTCAACACGGTCCACCAGTCCAGGAACACTTACCTGCCAAACTCTGTCAAGGCGGTGAGCAATGTGACGCAATCACAGCACAGCACAGCACAGCACAGCACAGAGTGTTGTCACATTCTTCCTTGCCTTGTGTGTGGGACAGGTGCCATTCCACCAAGAGGCCCTCATCCTTCTCTGGCACCTCATCACTGCCAACCCGGTCCGTCTGTGTGCCCATACCCACACGCACACCAGACACACACATACATCTTTCGGCCGCATGCCGTTTCCTGTGTGCAGACGTTTTTGCGGCGCATCACAAGCCGTCTCAACTCCAACAAGCTGCTGGTGCCGCTGGTCTTCCTGCTGCTGGACTCGCACCTCAGCAGAGCCGACACACAGGGGGGCCCCTCCAAAGTGGGCCTCCTGCACATGTGCTCGTTCATCCTGCTCGTCCTCAGCTCAGGTGTGCACTCGCTGACCTTTCCCCCTTCATGCGCCGGTGCACATGTGTGTCTGTGTCTCTGTGTCTGTGTCTGTGTGTTTCGGGACACTCACATACATGCAGAGCGTGACTTCGCGGTTCGGCTGAACGAGGTTTTTTTGGAGAAGTTGCCACTGGACATTCCTCTGTTCCAGGGGTGTCACGCCGACCTGCTGGTGCTCGTCATCCACAGAGTGGTCGTCGACAGCTCGGTGGGCGCATCCAGGACATGGGCTCGGTGTGGTCCCTTGTGGCGTGCTATGGTTGGCCCTTTTGTCTCTGTCTGTCTCTCTGTCTGTCTGTGTGTGGGGGGCTGTGTCAGAAGACGTCTCCCACGAACGATGCCCTCATCGACATGCTGCTTACCGTCATGTGCAACATGTGAGTGGGCTGAGGGGTGGGTTGGCCAGGTGGGAGACCATGTGGTGTGTCTGTCTTTTGTGTGTGTGTGTGTGTGCGGTGTAGATCTGCCTACATCAAGGGGTTTTGTCTAGAGAGCTGCATCCAGCTGCTGCGGCTGCTTGACCGGTTTAGCAAACCGCAGTGGCTGTTCAAGGTCACCACAGACACGAACGCAGAATCAATCGCAGACACACAGAACCATGCATTGCGATCTGTGTGTCTGCCCTGCAGGCGCCGTATCACTACCACGACCTGTTCTTCCTCCTCGACACCTTCAACAACCTCATCCAATACCAATACGAGGCAAGCCACATGCCCAGACACACCAGCCCTCCACACACGTGAAGCGTCTCTCTCCGTTCCCATACACGCAATGCAGGGCAACCAGAAGCTCGTCTACGCCATCCTGCGTCAGAAGGACACCTTCATGAATCTCCAGAACCTCTCATTCCCCACCAAGCTCCTCAAGAAGGCCTCGTCGCAGGCCACCGAAGGGGGGGAGGGGGGAGAAGGCGCCGTCGTAGGCGGAGAGGTCAACGGAGTGGCCGGGGCCACGCCGACGCCATCGTCACAGCAGCAGCAGACCGCCGCTGGTGGCGGCGGTGGTGGTGGCGGTGGTGGTGGTGGTGTTGTGGCCAATGGGGAGGCGCCGAGGAACGGTGTGCCGCAATCAGGTGGGTGGGCCGGTGGGTGGATGGGTGACGATGGAAGGAGACCGACCCGTCTGTGTGTGTGCTGTGTGTGTAGATCCGGGCGATCACACGTCGGCTGGTGCGTCGGGCCAGACCCCTCCACGTGAAGAGGGAGCACCTACAAACGAGGTGTGCGAGCAGAGTGGCTGGGGGCACGGTTGGCCGTTTCCGCATGGTGTTTGTCTGTCTGTCTGTCTCTGTGTGTGTGTGTGTGTGTGTGTCTGTCTCAGTGGCAGCCCACGCCCGAGTGGTTCAACGACTGGAAGTCCAAGCTGCCGCTCCAGACCATCTCGCGACTGATCCAGTGCCTGCTGCCACAAGTATCTATCCATCCATCCAGCCAGCCACCCATCAATCCACAGAGAGAATGGCTGTGTGTGTGAGATAGGTTGAGGATTTGTGTCAGGAGAAGGGTTTGACCGACCAGACGGAGGTGCTGTCTTACCTGCAGAAGACCACCATGGTGGGGCTGCTGCCCGTGCCCCACCCAATCATCATCCGCAACTACCAGCAGAACGCTTACACCGCCCTGTGGTTCACATCGTATATGTGGGTGAGTGCATCACGCACACAGAGGGAGGGAGAGAGAGATGGGGGGGGATGCTCATTCGTCCATTGTGTGTGTGTGTGTGTGTGTGTGTGTCTACGTGTGTGTCAGGGCATCATCTTCTCCCGTTCGCAGAGCCTGGCTCTCTTCGATTGGCGCAAGATCCGGCTCATCATCATCAACAACCAGTAGATAGACTTAGACAGAGCAGACAGACAGATGGAGGGCGTAGACAGACAGACAGACAGACAGACAGGCAGACGGACGGACGTAGCTGCGCTGCCTGGTGCTGCACGTTGTATGTAACACTACCAACTTGTATGTATGTGTGGGTGCTTGTTTGGCTGGCATCATGTCGCTTATTGGTGGCCTGACGTCTTGTGTTTGCCCCGTTGTGAGTGAGATCATGTGTCGCGGCTAGATGTGTAACAAGTGGTTGGCGTGCAGTCGTGCAAATGTGATGGGGGGGAATGGTGTCGGTGTGTAGTTGGCCTCACCGAGACGCTTATCTTTCGCACATGGCGATGTGTGGAAGAGGCCCGTCTCGGGGGAGGCTGCCCACATACCAGCACCGTCCTCCCTCCCTCGCGATTTGATTTACCACAGCGATTGATGGATGCGTGGATCACATCAAGCGGCGGTTGCGTGTACGATGCACCGCACCCATGCTTCTTGCTTACCTCACTCTCCTGTATGGGTGCCTGCGATCCTCCCTTCGTTGTGGGGTGTTTTTGTCCGGTTTGCTGAGGTCGCTTGCTGTGATGTGCAGGACCATTTGCCACATTGCAGGATGGCCCTGCACGTCGCGTCGGGCGGCGTCTGTAAGACGGATAGACCCCCACCCACACCATGATGCCATGGGCAAGAGCTATCTTGCCTTGCCTTGCTTTGCCTAGCCTTGACAAGAGCACTTCAACGGAAGTCATGTTTGTGCCCGCCCTGTTGTGTGTATGATGGTTGGTGCGAGAACAATTCATCCATTCAGTGCACGGCTGTGTGTGTGAGTGTGTGTGGTGTGTGTGTCAGGTTTGTTCGTTGAGTGAGTCCAGACGTGCTTTAATTCGTCCCGAACTGCCGGCCATTGGCCCCCTGTGTTGGCATGTCTGTCTCTCTGTGTGTGTGTGTGTGCTGCAATTCGACTCGTCTTGTCTTGTCCGTGTGTAACCATGATCTATGGAGAAAGGCACCAGGTCTCTTCTCACTCACACAAAAGGTTCTCATCACTCCCCACACAAGACAAGCGTGCCTCGCACACACCACACACATCCACCGAAAAACCGACCTCGACAAGTCTCTCGCTTCATTCCCAGGCGCACACCCATCGACCTCTCCACCTACGCCGTGTCATCAGCACCATCCCCCCCGCCCCCCAGCCTCCCCTGCTCCTCCCTCTCTCTGTTGAGCGATGCAAGCCGCAGCGACGAGGCTATCGCTGACGACGCCTCGGACGACGGCGAAGGCCGTGGGCTGATGGTGCCGTTGGCGAGTGGGGGGGCCTCCTCTCTCCATAACTCGTTCTCCTGCTCGCTGATGTCGAGTAGCTTCCTCACACGATCCCATGAGATGTGGTAGACCTGCAGACACCACACACATGACGGTCGGCCAGTAGTCAAGAGACATACAGAGGGAGGGAGGGAGGGTGTGCTGTGCTGTGCTGTGTGGGTCATGGCTCACCTCCCCACAGAAAGCGCACGTCATCTCGAGGATCTCCTGTTTGAGGATGATCTGCTCCAGCTCGGGGCGCGGAAGCGCCTTTAATCGGTAGAGGAACCGCTCCGGTGAGCATGAGCACTTGTATGACGGCGCGCCAGTCGAGTAGGTGCCGTGCATTACGCCGACGCCTTCAAGGATCCTGTCAACCAGGTCGGGCGCCGTGAGGCCGCTTCGGAACAGTGTTGAGAGGGAATCGTTCTTCAACCCCTGACCACACACACACACACACACACATGCACCAGATGAGTGTGTGTGCCCGTGTGTGCGCATCATCACCTTCAGGTTCTCTTCCACTCTTTGCAAAGTCTCCTCTGACGCGTCCGGCAGCCTCTCAACATAGTACCCAGCAGCAGCCTGCACCAGCGCCCCGCTGACCTCCACGCCCGCGTCAATGGCAGAAGTCCGCTGCTCGGTCTCGAGCAGTGCGAAGGCCACATTGATGGGTATGCTGACGTTGCGAATCTCTGTGATGGACTGGAAGGGCTGTATCCAGTCAGGATGGCTGCGCACCAGCTGGATCTGACCCCTACCGATGCCCCGCCGGATGCTCTTCTCGCGAGAGCCGCTCGCTGCACAAATGGGGCCGTATGAGAGGCATCCTTGTCCTGGTTGGTGCTTGTGGGGTTGCTCACCGTCTTGTTGTCCGGTAAACTTTCTATCCCCCTGCAGCATTGCCTTGACGTCCCCGTGGCCGTCAGCGATTGACGTGATGCCGCTGATGGGCCCGTTGCCTGCATGCCGAACGCATCACTACACCATACGCCATCCTGTCTGCCTTGTCTGTCTGCCTGTGCCCACCAGCGATTGTAAGCTGCAGCTGTTCCCTGTCCTTAAGGCCGGATGCCAGCAAAAGGTTGCAGACAGCCACTTCTCCCAACGCCTGTGCGGGGACGGGTGACCTGAACACACCACACCACAACGCACAACAGACAGGCAAGTCGTCCCAGCCTATCCTGGTGCTCTCGTTGCGCTCACAGCTGCAGACGAATGAGGGCATCCTGGACTAAATTGCGGGCACTCACAGCCTACATGTCACACACACGCTGGCTGGCTGAAAGCTGTGTTTGCTTCATCCTATGACATATCGTACCCTGACAACGATGCCGCCGTCGGCGCTGAGAGCCGACACAAGCGTGTCGTGAGCGTTGGAACGACGACCGCCACTGCAAAGCCACGCACACACACACATCCGGAGAGAACCACGCAGTGACAGGAGCACACATAGATCTGCTTGCTCACCCATCGCTCTCCATGCGCAAGAAGTTCTGTGTCCTCGAGGATGGCGTTGCCGTCCTCCTCCTGACGCCGAAAGCAGGCGTGAAGGCCACCCTCCTCTCTTCAGCACCATCCCGCCTTAGCCTCAGAGCGTTGGATAGATATGCACAGACGAAAAGAGCACAGACAGACCGCCGCCGGGCGTTGCGTGGTGCCATTCTGTCTGCTTCTCGCATTTTTCGCAGAGATCTGCTGGCTTCAAGCTCGCACACCGAAGGAGGAGGCGAAAGGAGCCGCGAGCACGACACTGTTTGGTAAGGTGTTCCTGTGGTAGTGCACCCTCAAATTCCGACAAACATGAGTGACATGATCTTGCACCGACGCCGACGGCCCCCAGAGGGCATAGATGGCCAAGATGGACGAGAGGGTCTTGCAGCCGTCCATTCATCGCAAGAACTGTAAGCGGGCTGGTGGGAAACAGCACGACAGACGGCATGGCATCTTCCTGTGTTTGCATCTGTATGTGTGGACCTGCAGGAAGCTGTAGCAGCATAGCTGAGCGTAGCTGATCTCTGGTGTGTGTCTGCTGGGCGATGGACGGCCCGCCAGCCAAAGCACCTCGCACAGCCGCTCCGGCCCAGAGCGATGACTCATCCAACCGCGCCGCGTCGAAGAGCCTCACGAGCCTTCTGGATGGGCTCATCTGGCTCAACGTGTCATCGTATCAGTCCGTCAAGGAGCGCCTGGCGATGAGCTGTGTCTGTCGGGCCTTCTACTGGGCCATCTACTCGCTGATCCGGGTCATCAACTGGCACCGCCCCAACCACGGCCTCAGCTGCAGGGGACCACGCGGCAGCCTGGTGACGTTCGAGCAGCAGCAGCACGCCATCATCCTGCTGCCCAGAGAGGAGGAGGTCGAGGAGATCGGCCGGGCGCGGCTGTTCGCCTTCGTCTCCCTGCAGCTGGTCAACCACACCGACACGCTCAAGGCCATCCAGACGACACAAGCCAAGCAGCAGCGAGATGAACACGGTGATGAGGATCGTGATGCGGATGAGGGCGAAGGGTCTGAGGACACGGCAAGTGGCCAGCCGGTGGCGCAGGTCAAGGGGCCCAATGCGGTGTTTCCGCCGGTCCGGTCGGTTGAGGTGGACAGCCTCGACGGATTCCATCTCTTCCAGCAGCAGAAACTCGTCTGCCCAGCGCTCGACCGCCTCACCGGCCAGGTGCTCTCCGCGGACGAGACAAACCGTATCACGGACAAGATGGGCGGCAAGTGGGCATCCATGCGCATTGCATTCGATCGCAGTTTGGCGTTCATCTTCGGCTCGTCCCCCGCCCTCAGCCACCTGGACATCTTCCCACTGCTGTGCTCCTACAGAGGGGCGGCTGAATCCGTCGTACCCCTCACCACCGCTGCCCTCTCATCGCTCAAGAATCTGCGCCACGTCGGCCACCTCAAGCTGTGTGGCAGCGACACGGAGACCAGCAAGCTGGTGACGCTGCTGCGGCAGCTGACGCCCAGCAGCGGCGGTGCGGCGAACTCCCGCTCTCCCTCTCCCTCTCCGTCGGGGGCCGCCACCAAGCGCCAGGTGAAGATCCACTGCCCCCTTGACATCGTCCGTGACCCGGCCGATCCACCCGACTGGAGTGATGAAGGCTCGGTGGGGATGATTCAGGCGGCTGAGCAGATGGGATGGGGAGTGGTACGGCAAGGAGGTGTGACATGGATCGAGTGCGGCGGTGAGAGCACAGAGGGCCCGCCGACTGCCGAGACCCTCACATGGGTGGAGACCGTCAAACGGCACGCGGGAGGGAGCGATACCGTGTCACTGATGGATAATGATGGCCGATCTGGCACCCCCACCAGCCCGCACTTCAGCGGCATCCGGCTGAACAACGCCAGGCGCCTGGAGGTCGAGCTCGCCATTTGCACCCACGATGTCGATGCCGAGTCCTTCAACGGCATCCCACAGTGGCTGACCGAGGTGGGCACGCTCAAATCACTCTGGTGAGAGACAGAGAGACAGACACACACACACAGAGAGAGAGAGAGAGAGAGCGCAACAAAGACGCTTCGCGTAATCTCGCTGTGGATGTGTGTGGATGTGTCGATTCAGTAACGTGACGGAGCTCTACCTGGTGGACGAGGGTTACAAGCCTCATATTCCGACGTGTGACCCCGAGTACCTCATCCCTCCCGCCACGCCCAACCGACTGTCGCGCCTCCTTTCGTCCCTCCCCGCCCTCACACACGTGTACCTCCGGTCGTTTGAAGCGGACAAGACGTGGACGTCTACGGTCAGCGGCGTCGTGGCCTCTGAGGCGCTCGCATACATCCAGCAGGGCATCAAACCAAAGCCGCTCAAGGTACATGTGGTGGTGCCGTCCAAGCCATGCATCAAGATATCGAGCCTTATCAGTCCATCCCGCATTGTGTGTGTGCCGATCAGAAGCTGGAGATGGCATATAGCGAGCCGCTGTTTTTCACCCAGCCCCATACCAAGGCGGCCGCCCCGATCGCCTTCCCGTCACCCCAGACCACCCGCCAGTACCCTAGAGTGCAAGAGCTCACCATCGAGACCAGACCCATCGACTTGAGCATGACGGGCAGCCTCGAGGACATCAACAACGCGACGGCCGAGAGCGTCCCCGAGCGGCTGCGGGACCTCTTCCGCCTCGTCCACGAGCTGCGGCCCAAACACGCTACCTTCAAGCTCAACGAGCGGGCAGACATCTTCACCACCCCTACCCACGCTCGCGAAGTCGAGCGCCAGCTCGATCCGCTGTTCCGCCAGAGCCGTGTGCGCGAGGACATGGCCGAGTACGGCATGGAGGTGCGCTTTCCGATCACCTACCGGCGGTTCGATGAGCAGGGCTCGTCGATCGAGGACCTGGCAGTCCGGCCGGCCGAGCACCAGTTGACAGTCACGATGGACATGTGGCCGCTGGACGACAGCGATGACGAGGAGGACATGGGGCTCGACGATGAGGAGGGATGGAGGGACTGAGGAGGGGGGAGGGAAAGATTGTTACTTGCCAGTGTGAATAGCTAGTCAGTGTACAGACAGACTGCCGACCGAATGCTCGGCTGGCCGCCTTTTGAGACAAACACTGCTGTGCGGTGGGTCGCCATCTGTGGGTTCGCCCGAGTGACAAGAGCAGTGAGCAGGTAGTGGGGGATGAGAGGCTCACACCACTCGACTGAGTGCCATAGATCCACACCCATGTCATTGTTATGAATGCATGCACGTGTTTTCCATTCTCCCTGTTCGATTTGCAAGCCTGGCCGCGCAAAGCACCCTTCGACGGCTGCACCCTTGGGATTCACCCTTCGCTTCGACTATATTTCAAGCTCGCAAAGGTGACAGATCTGTCGTGATAGACCTTAGCTGTGCGTCGCCTGAATGGCCAGATGCCCTTCTTCTTCGTCCCATTGGTATTGCCGCCGTTCATCGTCAAGAGCTTCAGTCATGTGCTGAGATCTGCGGTGCCGAATCCAGAGCGAGGTCAGGGCATACGCATCATCAAGGGTGTCCACCATCGTGCTGCGGGAGGCAATCACTGGTGGAAAACATTGGGAGAGACCATCAATGGAAAGGTGAGGCAAGGTGGGAAAGGCGCATCGGGAGAGATGATTTGCTTGGTGTGGTGCTGTGTTTGTGCACTGCAGGAGGTTGCCTGGACGGTCCCTCTCACCGTGCTGCTCTTCGGCGGACTTCTCATTCACAAGGTGAGCACAGCACAACCATTACCACCATGCTGTCTGCCTCATTCTCATCTCTGGCGTTTGATCTTCGACCGTCAGTGGCACCAATCGCTCCGTCGGGATCTGGCCAGCCTGGGTGCCTCTGTCAAGGCAGCGCAGAGCGACAGCGACCAGAGGCTGCAGGCCCTTGCTGTCGAGAGGGAGGTGACACCACATGACGCCACACTCACGGTATGCGGCCAGCCCATCCATCCATCCATGGCCTACTCATCATGTCTGGTGTATTGTCTGTGTTGGCGTGTGGCTGCAGTTTCCGAGTCTTATATCGTTGACTGAGGATGAGCTGCTCGCTTTGCGCAAGTGGATCGGACATGGGCAGTCCATCAAGCTATTGTACAGGTGCGTGGGGTGGGGGGATGCGCAGCGGGCCATCATATCAAGGAGCCTAGATGCCATGCCCCTGCCTCTTTCCTCCTGCCTGTTTCTTCTGTGCAGGGGCAGTCGCGACGGCTTTACGGTCACGGACATGCTCAGGCGAGTCGGTAGTGCGTCTCCCCTGCTGCTGCTCATCCGGCAGGACTGCCACCTATTCGGCTGCTATATGGAGGCCGCCATCAAGCAGCCACCCCGGACCAACAGATGCACAGGCCAGTACAGGTGCCACCTCTGGTTCTTCGCCCTCAGAGGCGCTTTCGACACGCCAATCAAGATCGCCGTGCCGCCAGAACGGCGGCTGATAAACGTGGCTGGAGACCACGCATCCATCAAGAGCGACCTCAGCGACTGCCGGGGCAAGCTGTGTCTCGGGCGGGGCTATCTGTGGCTCGGGTGGGGGCTGCCGGGGCCGACAAACGATGTGCGGAGCATGCATCAGTACATCGGCGGCGAGCACCTCCCAGAGTCTTACCGTGGGGAGGTGAACCGGCGCGGCTGCGGCACTCTGGCGAGCACCATGAACGGCAATGCCATAGAGGTGGAGGTGTGGCAGGTGCTCTCGTCGACAGCAGCTGAGCGCAGGGAGGGGGTCAGACAGACGGGAGAGGGCGAGGGAGGGGGAGGGCGGCAATCGGTGGTATGCCACGATGGATCATACGTGTGCGACCCGTGTTTTTGACTCAACGCGTGTGTTGTAGTGGTTTTGTGTGTATATATGTGTGTGCCCTTTTTGGCATGGTGGTGAACCTGTATAATACCTCTCGCAGCACGTGGATGAGATCAACACGTGCATTGAATTGCATTCGTCAAGTTTTCATTTCTCCCTCAACTCATTGTGAAGGCACGCAGCACGCATCACGAACCTATCGGGCTGTCCCCTTTTCCTACTCGACAACATTGGATCGCTGTGGTGGTCACGTCAGTGTATCCATTATACACTTTGTCGTACTCACCTGGCTGCCTTCAGCTGTCTGGCGCATGGAAGTGTCCCTTCCTCCCTCCCGCCCTCCGGCTGCTCTTCCCTCTCTCACTGGCCACACCGGTGAGTCAGACCCCCAGGCCAAATGTGTCACTCAGCGGCGAAGCTGCAGCCGTCTGAGTCGTGCTGGTGGTTGGGAGGGGGCCGGTGGTCTGAGGAGCCGTCATGGCCTTCGCCATCAACACAGCGTAAAGAGAAAAATTGAGGTCGGCTGGTGGTACTGTGGATGACGCAGCCAGAGCATTGCAGAGAGACAGACATAGAGACAGACATAGAGATACCGTCACCAGCCCTTTGTCGCCTACCGGCCTGTCCCCTGTCTTTGAATGTGTAATGCTGTCGCTCCATCTCCCGCCTGTGTGCGATGGCGGCCTTCTTGGCGCCCTCCATACCCAGCTGCCGCACAGAGAAGTATTTGATCTTCTCTTTGCCGCACTCTTTCCAGCGAGACACCCAGACCTTGGACCTGGGCCGTTTGCAATAGTTGACGCCTCTGATGCCGCTCTGGTGCTGGCTCTGGTACTCCGAGTCCAATCGCTTTCTCACCACCGCCCGTCCGGTTCGCTCCATTTCACGACGGTGCTGCTCGGCCAACGCCTGCACAACACACACACACACACACACACACGAGAGACATCTACAGAGATGGAGAGATTGGGGTGATAGACGGCGCCACGCGCACCTTGGCCTTGTCGAAGCCATGGTTACTAGCGCTGAAGATCCGTTGTTTCCGCTTCTTGTCGCCCTTCTCGACCCATGAGGCTGCCCACGATCGGCTCGACGTAAGCCAAAAGACCCCTGGTACGTCCGAGGTGGGCGTGGGAACACGTCTGGTGACGACCGTCTTGTTCGTCTCGCCCATTGGTCGTCCTTCATGATGCGAGTCATTCTATGGCGGCTCTGTGCGCTGCCTCTTCGGGGGGCGGCTGCGGTCCGGTGAGGGGTCTCGGCCATTGCAGGGGTTGACAGGGGGGCTGCTTGGCAGATGGCGCTTCGGAGGATCAGCCAATCCTGAATGGCACACAGGCGGACAGCCGAGACGATGGGTGAAGTGGTGCATCCTGGCTGAGCCAACTGGCTGTCCATTACCTTGGTCCTGGACATCACGCCGGTCAGACGCTACACACACACCTGATCAGCAGACACACAGGCAGATCAATCCTGCCCTTGCTTGCCCTGTGTTCTCTCCTCTAACCCGTCGGCCTCCACCGGATTGCCTTTGTCTGCCGGCCGGCCACCGTCACTGTGGCGATCTCATACCGACCGCCACTCTGAGGATCAGTCGCACGCACACCCTCCAGCAGCCTTGTCAGCATGATGTCCTCCTCCACCCTGCTGGCGCCTTCGATATCAGCGGCCGACGTGCCGGCTGGCTGCCCACCAGCCCTGGTCTCATGAGGCCCCGCGCAGCCGTCTCTTGTGTCGGTCTTCTCCTGGGGGCTGCAGTGGTCATTTACCACAGCGGCCTGACGATGGCACTCGGCGGGAGGGCTCGCCATAAGCCTGCCACGCCTCTTGTCGTAGTAGTAGTGCAATCGCTCCATCTCCCGCCTATGTGCGATGGCGGCTGTCTTAGCGCCCTCATAGCCATGCTTCCACACCGAGAATGATTTCCCTTTTTGGATACCCTTCTCATACCAGTTGGCCTGCCATGCGTTGTTCCCCTTGTTGAAGCTGACGCCTCTGACACCGGCTTGATGCTCCGACATCGGCCCCGTGGGGACGGTTGCGGGGGGACGACGGACGATGGCAATCCGGCGGTAACCTGCTATGCCACCGCCAGGTGGAGGCCAAGGCGACACTACCATGTCCATCGCTCGTCGGTGTGCGGTGGCGGCGTGTTTCGTCTCCTGATAGCCAAAGTTCCCGACAGAGAAGGGCTTCTCACCCACACATGTGAGAAGGGAGAAGAGCATGGAAGGACCACCAAAAGACAGCTAGCGTGATGTGTCTGTGTTTCCGTACCTTGGAATCAAGTGGTGCTGTGCGACAGCCGGGCAGTGCAAGAGGATCATCCTGGTGTGCGGCAGCGAGGCCAGGAGGCCATGGGGGAACGTCGACAGCTGGCCGGCCCTTCTGCCCTAGGCCGCTCCCACCGACTCGCGTGCCCACCACCGATGGACCCTCCTGCTGCAGCTGATGGCCGGGTGTGAGTGGCGAGCGGAGTGGCGGTGACTGCCCGGAGAGCTGGCCACTCCTGCCGCTCTGTACGTCGAAAGGGACCACCGAAAGAGGGTGATGGACAGCGGCCGCTTCATCAGGTGTGATGCCACGATGAATGGCTGAGCCGGAAACGGGGGCACCCGAGAGGAGGGCCATGGACATGTACTATAGTTTTTTACCACACGTTGACGACCCCCCAAAAGCACCAGCTGGGGGAGTGCTCTAGGCTACTTTTCTCCGTGCGCGAATCGCATATGGCGGATGGCGTAACGGACTTCATGAAAATGCCCTCCTGGAAAGCTGAAACTTCGTGTGCTGATACTGAGCTACATGACGGGTCGCCCAGATCTCTTTTCGGAAGGAGAAAACCTCGTGCATGCACCGAAAGCTCGCCTATAAGCTCGCCAGAAGAAGAAGTGGTTTTGACACAGGCGACGAGCCAGATGAGCCAGACGGCCTGTGTGGTCGACCTCTCTCTTCCTCGTACAAGGGCAGTGTGAGTACAAGGTCCCACTCGCCTGCCCGATGGCAAAGAATGGCACATCGTGGCTTCCACATAACGACCATCTGGCTGTGTGCGTGGCTGGTGTCGCTTGCATGAGATTTCTACGTGCATCAGGTGTGCCGTCACACGCGAACACACACACACACATCCATGCACACAGCACCCTCCCTCACTCTCCTTGTCTGTCTGTCTGTCTGTGGGTGGCTGGTCAGTCAGGCGATCGATCTCTGCCTGGTCGAGAAGACACGATTTGCCGCCCGAACGACCACCGTACGTCTAAGCGAAAGACAATGGTAGGCAGGCCTTAAGAAGGCTTTCATCCATCCCTTGCGTGTGGTGCTTTGTGCGTGCCTGTCTGCTGCAGGTAACAAATCCACCCTTGCCCCTCCTCTCCTACCATTACATAAGAATCAGGCGACTTCGGTCGTAACTTCCTGGAGATAAGAACACCATCAAGTGGCTGCGCACTCTAAGTTAAGAAGGATTATGGTAAACGGCCCCACTCGCTTGCCCGATGGCAAGGAATGGCAAAGCCAGGTAAACAAGGGCAAACAAAGAGGCATCGTGGCTTCCACATGACAACCATCTGGCTGTGTGCGTGGCTGGTGTCAATTGCATGAGATCTCCACGTGCATCAGGTGTGCCGTCACCAACGACGGTGAAAAGGCCAGCGCGAATCGACATCAGGTAAGGTACCATGATACACACGCCACCCACCCACCCACCCACACACACACTCACACATCTCCCACACAACGACGCCTCTCTCTTCTGTGTCTGCAAAGTTCGGCGACGCCATCGATACAAGCGACAAAGACACGACAAGGAAACCGTCCAACGATGGGCTGCTGTCGTCACGGCTCTGGGCAAGCTCCTGAAGAGCGTGGGCCAATCGGCTATCGTGCCAATAGGCTCCACATCAAGAAGGCACAGTCTTCTCGCGGTCATTTTTCGACGATTTAGCGGTAAGTCACTTGTTTGTTGATCTGCGCTGTTTGTCTATCCCCCTCGTAATCCGCCCTTCCCCGCCTTTGTGTGACTGGGCGATCTGCACTGGCTGGCCACCTGGGGATGGGCGGTATCTACGTATGGAGTCATGGTGCCTGACGCACGCACGCACGCCGCCTTCAAGCTGCTGCTGGGGTGGCGTGTGTGCGACGTTGTGTGCCTGCTTCTATGTGGCCGTCGTTCGCAGCGCATTGCATATCCTCCTGTCTGCTGCATCTGCCCTCTGCGTGCTGCGTGTTGCGTGTCCGGGTTGCATGTTAGGGTGGTGTTTCATGTTGGAAGACTGACACGGGACTTGGCCGTCAGCCCACCTAGGGTGCTCCCTGAAACCGCCTGCTGCCGCCCTTCCCCGCCACTTCATGATTTGTGCTGTGCGTCTTGTCCTTACCTGTGTACCTGTTAGTGTTCCTACCTATCATGACACATCCGCGCACAGACACAAACACAGACAGCTACAAAAGGGAGAAGGACATGCATGCAATTGTCTGTGTTCTTTGATTCATCGCATGGATGGTGTGATCGACGTGTTTTTTGGACACATCCGCATTCTCCGTCAAACGCGCAATCGCCCCATCCACTTGGGGGGTCGTGCACCGCGCTCAGCTTTTCTGGGCGCCTTACTTGTATTATTGCTACAGCTAAATGCCTAGGGTGCTTCCTCGGAAAACACCCAAAGGCATGCCTGTTTGAGGTGATGGAAGAGGAGGGCAGCAAGTTCCTCCCCGGTTGCGTGGTAGCAGTACGGTTGAAGGACTTCCAGCACTACCGGCAGTGTGAGTTCATCGGCCTCCGCAGCGGTGTGAACCTCATAGCGGGCGTCAATGGCAGCGGCAAGTAAGACGCATGAGATGCAGACAGATCAGCAGCACCAACATGCGGCGCATATCTGCCTCCCTGTGCGCTGTGCTGCTCGTTTCAGGTCTAGCCTGGTACGCTGCATGGCGGATGATTCTCGACCGCAGTATCTCGATGATGGAGGGTGTAGATCTCTCTTTCTGCATGTGTGTTCGATTCGCCAGGCAAACGCCATTTGCATCGGATTGGGCTTCAACCACAAGCTGCTGCGACGCAGTGACGACGTAAGCAGCACAGCGCAACACAGCCCACCACACGCGAACACACACGCACACCACGGCCCGTCTGTTGTCCTTCTTGCCCCTC